ATTTATATTTTTATATATATGTGTGTTTCTCTTATACTTTATATAAAATTAATAATTTATTTTGGGGGGGTGGGAAATATTAACAGTGACAGCATATAGCCGAATGTTTATTAATTTAACAACATTGAAGAATCAGATCTTAAAATGAATAAGAAAATGATTGTAATCATATATTTTAAAATTAACATTGTATTTTTCTAGAGTAAAGTAATTTTTAAGACACCCAATGTAATTGCAAGTCGATGATTATATGAAAAGTTAAAAATAATGTTTGTTCTCACAACCGTGAGTTAGTATTGTGAATCTAAATGATAAAGGCTATTTAAATTTTTCCTATTTTAACAGATTTCAAAAAATAATCAATTGATGATAATTGAAAAAAAGAAAAAAAAGTACCCCAAATATCATTTCGTTAGAATTCAATAAAACATTATATATACTTACTGTATTCTAATATACTCATGATCTTGTATTAAAAAAAAAGAAAAAAAATTGTATAGGTATTATACTTAAAGAAATAATTGATCAATAATTTTGTCTCACCGTTGGTATTTTACCATTAAGCCTGTCCATGTCACCACCGAGAAGATTGTTCTCTTCTTCGATTGATTTAGATTCCTCTTGATCAACGGTTAAATCTGGATAAATAGGTACGGATAATCTTTTCTCGGTGTTATTTAATTTTCTATCAGAATTTCGGGACTCCATGTTGACCTTGCGCAACGATAACATCGATTCCGATGCACTTGAAATAAACAAAAAAAAATACAAATTTGAAACGATCGATGTTAATTCAATCGAAGGTAATTGAATTAAAAAAAAAAAAAATAATAAAAATAAAAATGACACGGAATAGCATAATTTGTTAGAATTACTTTACTATATTAGGACTACTGCCGATAAGTTGTGCCGCTGTTGGATACTCGGTATTGTTGTTAGTCCCAAAAAGTCCAATTCTGTTTGGTTGAACATAATGCAAAGAGGTAGTCGAAACACCTTTTCCAATAAACGTCGTGTTAGCTTCGATAACATCGTTCTCTTGATTTGGTTTAATTTTTATTCTCGTTGGTTTCAATGGTCGAAACATCGCACCAAATATCGCACAATTTAACAGCATTCCTAACGAATAAATCATATTTCGGACATTTTTTCTTTTTAAAAAATACCTTCACAATTCGCGTATTATAATTATATAACACGTAAATTACGAATATGCGTTAAATATAAAATCAATAAAATATTTTAATTTACATAGAATTTAATATTATCGAATTTAATCTGTATAAATAATGTTAAGAATCATTTAATCAAAATTTATTACCGATTTCTGAACACATACACATACACACACACACACACATGCTCTCGATAATCATTGGTTAAGTTTGTAGAAATAATTAAAAGTGTGATATTAAAAATATATAAGTATATATCTGATAACTTGTTTTTTTGGGAGAGATTCTTGTCTTAATTGCATAATAAATTAATTCGATAAAAAAATAACGCTTATCATTAAAAGTAATATATATATATATGTGTGTGTGTATTTACGTATTTACATAAGTATAAATATATTTAACTCACCTGCCTGAAAAAGTAGGGCACCGCGCCAACTGTAAGTCTTTATAAGTAAATCCGAAATCGGTGCTAACAAGAAGGCACCAATTCCAGATCCACAAACTGCAATACCGGTCGCCAAAGCTCGCCATCTTTCGAAGTAAAAGCCGGTTGTAATAACGGCTGGAACGTATATCAGGCCTACACCGATACCTCCTGTATATATATACATACATATATATATAAATATATTTAATTGTATAATTAAGAAAGCCAAGAAAAAGAAATAAAAATAAATTGATTAAATATATCTCGAAAGTAAAAACGAATATTTACTTATTTTAATTTTGCATTAGTTTGTGGTGTAATAGTAGTAGTTAGTATATATATGTATGGATAAATAAGAGCAAATTAAAAAAGAAATCTAACAATTGTTTAACAATTTTTCGAAAATAAAAACATATATATCTTAAGATTCTTTTTAATTATTTAGATTTTTATATTAGTTTGTAATAATACTTGTATAATATATAACCGTATGTATAATACTGTACCTATTCGTCTGTATAAATGATAGTTAACTTTAATTAATTAATTATTATTTTTTTATTTTGTATTGAAAGTTGAAATACGATTCACATTTATCTCGAAATACAATTTCACATTATTACCTTAATAATGAGTGTTTGTAATGACAAAGTTTTCATCTGAGGCTGCTTGCACAAAGAAAAAAAAATTGTATTATTATTATTATTATTATTTTCTTTTTTTTTTCTACTTCTTCTTCTTTTTCATTTAATCTAAAAGTCTCGTTAAAAAAGAGAGGAACGACGAAAAGTTTCAAGATGAAGGAAAAACGCGTTCGTGCAAGTGTAACTTTCTCAATAAGAGATACCTATAACTTACCAAGAACACCGTAAGAAGCATAAAGAAACTCTATGGACGGGCTGAAGTATGAAAGGACAAAAGCGATGCAGCTAAGTATGCTACCCAATATAGCGACTAGCCTAAATCCATACCTGTTCGCTAATGCGGATACGAATGGTCCTGGAAAAAGAAAGAAAAAAGAAAAAAACAAATATAAAAAATACGTTAACGAATTTATTTAATTAGAATTATTTTCTACTTTTTTGTGATTTAAATTTCTAATCATTTCATTTCACATTTTATTCGACAAAAGAAAATATATAGATTATTTATTATATTATATTATATAAATTATACAATATATATATATATATTTAAATATTGTAATAAATAAATAAAAAAAAAAACGTTACGCCAATGAAATTTTAACGAATATACATAATACATTTAATTTCTAAACAAACGAGAAAAAAAATCACTATTATCTTGTTAATGATTTTACTATTGGCATATCTCGATAGATAAATCGATTAACATAATTAATCATGTATTACATTGTAAATAATCGATAATAATTTATCTGTCATTTAGATCGCAATGTTACTAAATAGGAATTGAACCAAGGTAAAATTTGTATGTTGTTACTAGATGAAAGATCGTAATCTATATTTACATTGTCGAGATAAACCTGTTTTATGAAATACATTTTTTTATCGTTGTATTTTAATTGCGAAAAGGAAGAGAAAAAAGAAAAAAAAAGAAAAAAGAAAAAAAAAAAATAAAGAAACAAGATATCTCGTATTACTTTGAAAGCTCTATAAAAATATGCAAATAAATGTTTACGAACCGGCCATCAGATAAAATCCTGTCTGCAGTGAGCCAACCAGTGCTACGCTAGCATGGGATACGTTAAATGCCTCCGTGATGTCGTTTAGAAAAACCCCGAAACTGAAAATAATCCCATCTACGACGAAATTGCAAAGAAAGGATGCTGCAACGATCATCCAGCCCCATCCTCCGTCAGGTGGTACCACCATTTCGACCTCGATACTCTGTTGGAGTGCACATTTTTGTTTTTTTCTCTTCTTTTTTTTTTACATGTTCATTATAACACCACAATTAATTTTTATTATTATTTCGGTGTTGTTAGATACCATTTGCTTTCAGCACCTTTTTGTTTTAAATGAAATTAATTATATCTTTTCCCCCATATCGTTATATATTTTTTTGTTCATTTATTTAACATTAATACTTTTAATACTTTTGTGTCCAATTTACTATTCTTTTTTGTGTCTTTAAATTTTTGATTGTTTTTTTGTATATTATTTTATATTACAATGGTTTGCGTCATTGCACACATCTCTCTAATTTTTTTTTTTTTTTTTTTTTTTTTATAAGTATATTCATTCAAGTTTCGATTTTTATTTATCTCACTTCGTTGTATAATTTATTCTTTATCGAAACAAAAAAGAGAAGAAGAAGAAGATGGAAATTCTCGTATAATCATTTCAAAATAAAAATGTTATAACTATTAAAATCGATCGTGTTCTCTTCTTTTCTTTTTTTTTTTTTTTTCTCCTCGATCGTTACGAAGATACGCGAAATGTTACGGTCGAGGTCATCGTATAAAGAACTCGATTTCGTTATTATTGAATCTAACATAGTACAACTTTTATCTTTTACACCGATATAAACCTTGTCGTGATTAAGAACTTGACCCCCTGTCACGATAGGAATCGTTGTTAAGATTTCCGATTCGAAATCAAAAATATTCAAGATGATACATTTTTCGATAAATACGAAATATAAATAAAATACAATATACAATATAGAAATAATCAATATATTACAGTATATTAACACTTTATTTAATTTTTTGTAATTTTTAATCGTACCGAGATAATTACGACGATATATATTAATTATAACAAATTATTTTTTTCAATATATTATTTTTAGATTTTACTTTGCGATAAATGTATTGTCGTAATTTAAGATATATCATTCAATGAATTTGTTCAATTTTGTTGAATCTAGTAATTACCACATCACATATATCTTTATCTCTCTCGTATATACTTATGAAAATTAAAATATATTTCACATACGATACATTTCATAATAATCAAATGCTACTGGAATTTTTTTCTTCTTTTTTCAAGATAATTTGAATGGATGTATTGATTAGAAAAATATATATATTCATAATCATGTAAATTAAATTACATAAACGAACGCATACGTTCACACACGTACGTGTTTCTTAATGGTAAATAGGATATATCACCTCATTGTTATTGTCATTAAGATCATCGAGTTGTATTTCTTCTTTTTTAAAGTTTCGTCCATTTTGTTCAATCGTTTTTGAGACCAATTCGTCCATCTTATTCTCCTGCGATGCCATTGTCGTCTCCTAATATCTAAAAAACAACAAAAAAAAATGCACGATAAAATCCTTCAATGTGTTCAACAATCGAAAAAGAAATTTTATAAATATGTACCGAAAAACAAATTTTAATATCTCGAATACTTTAATTAAGTATTCCAAATTTCTTCGAGTAGAATTCATTCGAATTGAGAAAATGTGCCAAAAAATATATATGAAAAGTAATATTAATATGTTAAAAAAAAGAAAAGAACATAAAGAGATAATATTCGTCATAACACGTTTCACACTGCCTACACCCCCCCTCCCAACTCCACCCCACCACCCATTTAATGTTACCTCTTATAAATGACGTTAATATTCGTTTGGATATAATATTAACATTAGTTACACTCGTTGATTACAAATTCGTAATTGTTGAGAAAAATATTTGATATTATTTTTTTGGTAGTGGTGGTGGGGTGGTGGTGGGGGGGGGGGAAGAGAGGGGAATATAAAAAAATTTTATTCTTGGTTAATGGAAAAGATTCCGATGTAAAAAAGAATTCACATTTTTAAAAATACTCTCGTAGAGAGATACATCAAAAGCATATTATTTTATCAAACCGTTTTACTGATAATAATAATGTAAACCCAGATTTCAGTTTCGTATTATTGAATTGATTTACGTGTTGTGTACATACATACATACATACATACATACATACATACATACGTACAAACGTACATACATGTTATAATATGTATGCGTGTATATAAAAATTATCTTCTTATATTCAAAACACAAAATATAATTGCGAAAGTTATGTTAACGAAGTAGTTAATGTATATAATTTAAAAGGGCTAGTAGTAAAGCTCAATAATAGTGTCCATCGATAATAAGACATGAATAAAATATTGTTTGACCGAAAAAAAAAAAAAAAAAAAAAAAAAANTGCGTGTATATAAAAATTATCTTCTTATATTCAAAACACAAAATATAATTGCGAAAGTTATGTTAACGAAGTAGTTAATGTATATAATTTAAAAGTCAGAGTATTGCTCTTATGTAAAATAAATTGTTTACACTGATAAATATTGTTTTTGATCATACTATTAAAAAAAAAAAAAAAAGAAGAAAATGAAAGTAAGATAAAAACAAAAAAAAAGATTGCTCGAGAAGATTTTTTAATCGACAATAATAATAAATTACGTAAAATAAATGACGTCGTGAGTGTTCGTATGTAAATGTTTAAACAGGTGACGTTCTATAATACCTTATCAAAATTAGAAACGTTTCAAAATGATTTTTAGAAACATTTATTGTCCATAATATTCATAAAATTTTAAATAACATGTATTTATATTTATATTTATCTAAAAAAAATTAATGCAAACACACAATTTTTTTTCTCTTCAAGAATTTGATCACTCTCAATAAAGATAATTAATAAGATGTATGCGTATTATGATTTTTTGTCAAGAAAAAAAAAAAAAAGAGAAAAAAAAAAAGAAAATATCGAAGAATCAATTTAATTCACATTTTCATTGGTTGCGTATTTTAACACACAAGAAATAAATCGATTTATTTCAAATAAATTGGGATCTTTGATAGATCTGTAATAACGAAAAAAAAAAAAATAATTTAAATATCATTTTAAATTGTTATTTAAATTTGTACGATATTTATTATACACAATTGTTTTGTTTTTTTTTTCTTATTACACGTATAATCAAGAAACGAAAACTACTGTTGTCATTTTAATAGCGTTATTTTTCAATGTATTTTTTTTTTTTTTACGAGTACGGGGAGTAGGAGGGAAAAATAATGAACGAATCAAAAATAGAAAAAAAAAGAAACATATAATAAGTAATTCGTTAGCTTTACGAAGAAAAAAGAAGAAAAAAGAAATAAAACAGGTCAAAATTTGCGAAACGAGTCTTACAAGTCGTGTCCTCCAACCACCCACACCCGCACCCGCACCAACGTTTGCAATTATACTCGAGAATATACAAAGGTCAAAGAGGAAGATGCTTTGGCGAAAGGTCAAGGTCGTTCGAGGCTTCGAGAATAGATTCGAATCGGAATGGACACGCACGTGATTATGCTCGATCATCAAATTTTCTATCAGAACTGTGTTGTTGTTATGGTTTTGTTGAAATATAAATTAAACAAACGATCACTTTCTCCCCCCCCCCCCCCCGTTTGCCATGTTGACAAAGTTTGTAAATATATTCGATTTTTGTTTTTATAAGTAAATTCTTCTTAATTGTTTTTTCTTTGCATTTTTAATTAAATTATTTTCGCAAGAAAATTATTCTAACAAACGTGTTAAAATGTTCAAATACTTATTCCATTTAATTCTTACCATTAATTAACGATGACTATAATTGTCTGATGTTAAACTGTCACACTGTATACTAATGATGATTTAAAAAAAAACTATAATCAAAAGAAAATTATTATTATTATATTATTACTCTTTTTTTATTTCGCGTTAAGTTTTGTTTATTAGTATCGTCAGTTCTCTCTTTCGTAAACGTTTGAATACTCATATATAAAGTGGATATAATATATTTATATATTGGTTTGTTTGTTTGTTTGTTTATTTATTTAATTGTAAAATCTAATTATAATTTTCATAATAACGTTTAAATATATATTTATTTTATTTTGTAACAATTCTATCTCGAGTTATCCAAAATTTATAATATATTATTAAATTGAATACGTTATAAATATAATTTAAGGTAATAATAAATAAATAAATACACATATACACACGTGTTATTTAATAATGATAATAATCTTAAAACGTGTTAATAAAATCAATCTAAAATATATATCTAAATATTTTGAAATATTCCAAACGATGTTTCATTTTAATTGACAAGACGAGAATGTGTCAAATTGTCAAGGTGTAAATAATTTTAAAGGCACATGAAAAAGAGAACAAAATGAAAATTATTATAATAAAATTTGATAAAAAAAGAGTAAAGATGAAGCATTTACACACACAATACACTTTACTCGTTCCCACGAATATAACGAGACGTTACTGATCCCACGAGATTTCGTTATTATACCCCATTATCGTAACAACATTCGTTCTCGTGAGTTACGCCCCCCCATCGTGCTACTCGTATTTAATATTTCTTGTCAGTTTCAACTGTTTACCGTAGAAACTCGTAATTTCTCACTCACCGCGAATATAAAACATCTCGAAAAAAAAAAGAAATTTTGTCGTTCAAACGTGTCGCGTGACATTTTTGGTTTTTTCATTTTTTTAGAATATCCTCGAGACACTTTGTCTCACAAGGGGAATAGGGGGTGGGGGGAGTGTAGCAGGAAAACGTCATTATTATTTACCACGAACGAAACGGGGGGCGGGGGCAGGGGGAAGGGGAAAAAAAAGAAAAAATAAATTTATCGTATGACGTTTACGAATGATTTATTCGTGATAAGGTCATCATATGCAACAAGAAGTGCATACAACACACGCGTTGATTTATAATTCGACAATTAACTCTCGTCACGTTAAAATGATGTCTAATATTTTTTCCCAACCCCCTACTCTCTTATGTTCTAATGTCAAAAAAAAAAAATATATATATATATATATATATTTCATAAAGTTAAAAGTATAACAAGTTTGAATCGTTTAAACGCATAAAATGTCACGTAACTTTAATTCCTAAAAACATATTACTTTAATATACATATAATATCAATAAATACCATACACGCGTGTAAATTTATTTTTTTGCCTTTTCTTCATTTTTTTCTTCTTTTTCTAAATTTCTTTTGTAATATTTGTCAATTGTTAATTATTCGTAACGCGTTACTTTCGTAATATTTTTCTGGACACTTTTTTTGTTATTCGTGTAACGTTAATGATTTCAATTAAGGTTGTGTTTTTTTTTTTTTTGTAAAATTACGAATGAATTATAACGAGGACAAATACGTGTACTTATTATAAAACGAGATATTGAGTATCACGAAATAGTGTCATACTTTCGATCACTTACAATTAATATCGCACAACCTGATTTTTGTGGCCCAGAAATCGGCATCAAATAGCCGGTTTGTAATTTAAAACTTACCAGCCGAAACTAGCCCGATAGTTTTTAATGAAACACCTGCGAGAATATAAAAGAAAAAGAAAGGTGATCGATGACCCCGTAAAGTATTGATCATTCGCGAAGACAATTTTTTTTATTAAACTTAAACAAATTTTTATGTTTTCCCCCTCTTCCTCGTGATTTAGCACATATCGATTACAACCTTTTGAAAATTTTGAAACATTCGATTTGTTGCAAAACAATTTTGTTATTTAACCATCTCGCATTGACTTTTTTTCATTCAAAATTCGTACACGTTTTGTTTTTAAGTAAATTGAATAAACAAATAAATCACTGGGTGAGAAACAATTCTTGAATTAGTATTTAAATATCTGCAGGAAATATTAAATATTCATGAATTTCTTTTCGGTCTCTCTCTCTCTTTCTCTCTCTCTCTCTCTCT